GCAGGAGAATTGCCTGAACCCAGGAGGCGGAGGTTGCGGTGAGCCGAGACCGCGCCATTGCACTCCAGCCTGGGTAACAAGAGCGAAACTCTGTCTCAAAAAAAAAAAAAAAAAAACTATTTCCTTTTGTTTGTTTGTTTGTTTTTGAGATGGAGTTTTGCTCTTCTTGCCCAGGCTGGAGTGCAATGGTGTAATCTGGGCTCACCGCAACCTCCACCTCCCATGTTCAAGCGATTCTCCTGCCTCAGCCTCCCACCTGCCTTGGCCTCCCAGAGTGCTGGGACTACAGGCACTCTGTCACCCAGGCTGGAGTGCAGTGGTGAGATCATATCTCACTGTAGCTTTGACCTTCTGGGCTCAAGTGATCCTCTAGGCTGGAGTGCAATGGCGCCATCTTGGCTCACTGCAACCTCCGCCTCCTGGATTCAAGTGATTCTCCAGCCTGGCAAGAGACTTTGTCTCAAAAAAAAAAAAAAAAAAATTAATAATAATAAAATAAAATAAAGAATATAGGCCATGTGGGATGACTCATGTCTGTAATCCCAGCACTTTAGGAAGACAAGGTGGGTGGATCACTTGAGGCCAGGAACTCAAAACTAGCCTGGCCAACATGGCGAAACACAGTTTCTACTAAAAATACAAAAATTAGCCTGGTGTGGTGGCCCATTTCTGTAATCCCAGCTACTTGAGAGATTGAGGCATGAGAATGGCTTGAACCCAGAAGGTGGAGGTTGCAGTGAGTAGAGATCATGTCACTGCACTCCAGCCTGGGTGACAGAGCAAGACTCTGTCTAAAAAATAAAATAAAATAAAATAAAATAAACAATATGCCAGTAAACCTATTCTATAAAAAAAAATGTAAAAGAGAGTCTTTCAGACTAAAGTGAAGGAACAGATTCACTAGGTTATCCAAAGGCCCAGAATCAAAATAAGTTAAGAAGAGCTGGACAGGCTGAGTGTGGTGGCTTGCTCCTATAAGCAGCATTTTGGAATGCAGAGATGGGAGTATCACTTGAGACCAGGAGTTCGAGACTAGCGTGGGCAATATAGTGAGACCTTTAATCTACAATAAAATAAACTAGCTGGGCCTGGTGTTGTGTGCCTCTAATCCCAACTATTGAGGACCTGTAGTCTCAGCTACTTGAGCCTGGGAGGTAGATTTAAAAGGGAAATATGGCTAGGACAAATTTTGACAGTGTTGGGGGTGGTGGGAGGCCAAGCTGGGAAGATTGCTTGAACCCAGGAGTTTGAAATTAGCCTAAGCAACATAGTGAGACCCTGTTTCTTTCTTTCTTTTTTTTTCTTTTGAAGACGGAGTTTCGCTCTTGTTACCCAGGCTGGAGTACAATGGCGTGATCTCGGCTCACCGCAACCTCCGCCTCCTGGGTTCAGGCAATTCTCCCGCCTCAGCCTCCTGAGTAGCTGGGATTACAGGCACGCGCCACTATGCCCAGCTAATTTTTTGTATTTTTAGTAGAGACGGGGTTTCACTATGTTGACCAGGATGGTCTCGATCTCTTGACCTCGTGATCCACCCACCTGGGCCTCCCAAAGTGCTGGGATTACAGGCTTGAGCCACCACGCCCGGCCTGAGACCCTGTTTCTACAAAAAAAAAAAATTAAAAGTTAGCTGACAGTGGTGGCATGTGCCTGTAGTCTCAGCTTCTTGGGAGGCTTGGGCAGAAGAATCGTTTGAGCCCAGCAGGTCAAGGCTGCAATGAGCTATGATGGCACAACTGCATTATAGCCTGTGCAGCAGAGCAAGATTTTGTCTAAAAAATAGAAAAGGCAAATACATAAGACAGTTATTATAAATCTATGTTAATGATCATAAAATGTGCTGGGGGCAGTGGCTCAGGCCTGTAATCCCAGCACTTTGGGAGGCCCAGGTGGGTGGATCACCTGAAGTTGGGAGTTTGAGACCAGCCTGACCAACATGGTGAAACTCCGTCTCTACTAAAACTGCAAAGTTAGCTGGGCATGGTGGCACATGCTTGTAATCCCAGCTACTCAGGAAGCTGAGGCAGGAGAATTGCTTGAACCTGGGAGGTGGAGGTTGTGGTGAGCCGAGATCTAGCCATTGCACTCCAGCCTGGGCAACAAGAGTGAAACTCCGTCTCAAAAAAAATAAATAAATAAAAATAAAAATTATTTATATATATATATATATACACACACACACACAAAAAAACAGAAGATATAATAGTTCACTGCAAAAAAATCAACTAAATACAAAAAAGACAGAAGTGGAAGAACTGAGGAACGAAAATATATAAGACATATAGCAAACAATTAGCTAAGTGCCATAAATAAATTTTTGTTTGTTTGTTTTTTTGAGTCGGGGTTTCACCATATTGGTCATGCTGGTGTCGAACTCCTGACCTTGTGATCCACGTGCCTCAGCCTCCCAAAGTGCTGGGATTACTGCCCTGAGCCCCCGAGCCCAGCTTTTTTTTTTTTTGAGATGGAGTCTTGCTCTTGTTGCCCAGGCTGGAGTGCAGTGGCAACCTCTGCCTCCTGAGGTTCAAGTGATTCTCTTGCCTCTGTCTCCAGAGTAGCTGGGACTACAGGTGTGCAGCACCACACCCAGCTAATTTTTGTATTTTTAATGGAGACGAGTTTCACCTTGTTGGGTAGGCTGGTCTTGAAATGCTGACCTCAAGTGATCTGCCCTCCTCAGCCTCCCAAAGTGCTGGGATTACAGGCGTGAATCACCACACGGGACTGTAAATCCTTGTTATCAGCAAGTAAACTAAATATAAATGAATTAAACCAACTTTATTTATTTTTATTTATTTATTTATTTATTTTCGAGATGTTTTGCTCTTGTTGCCCAGGACGGAGTGCAATGGTGAGATCTCCGCTCACCGCCACTTCCTCCTCCTGGGTTCAAGCAATTCTCCTGCCTCAGCCTCCCAAGTAGCTGGGATTACAGGCATGCACCACCACACCTGGATAATTTTGTATTTTTAGTAGAGATGGGGATTCATCATGTGTTGGTCAGGCTGGTCTCAAACTCTGGACCTCAGGTGATCCACCCACCTCGGCCTCCCAAAGTGCTGGGATTACAGGCGTGAGCCACTGAGTCTGGCCAACTTTTTAATTATTTTTATTTTTATTTATTTATTTATTTATTTATTTATTTATTTTTTTTTTTGAGACAGAGTTTCACTCTTGTTACCCAGGCTGGAGTGCAATGGCGCGATCTTGGCTCACCGCAACCTCCGCCTCCTGGGTTCAAGCAATTCTCCTGCCTCAGCCTCCTGAGTAGCTGGGATTACAGGCACATGCCACCATGCCCAGCTAATAATTATTTTTATTTTTTTAGACGGAGTTACCCAGGCTGGAGTGGACCCAGTGGCGAGATCTCGGCTCACTTCGACCTCCGCCTCCTGGTTTCAAACAATTCCCTGCCTCAGCCTCCTGAATAACTGGGATTACAGGTGCCCACCACCATGCCTAGCTAATTTTTATATTTTTAGTATTTTTGTATTTTGTATTTTCAGCCTTCCAAAGTGCTGGGATTACAGGCATAAGCCACCGTGCCTGGTCTTTTTATTTTTTTTGTAAAGGAGTCTGGCTCTGTTGCCCAGGCTGGAGGGGAGTGATACAATCTCTGCTCACTGCAACCTCCACCTCTTGTGTTCAAGTGGTTCTCTTGCCTCGGCCTCCCAAGTAGCTGGGACTACAGGTGCCTGCCACCATAACTGGCTAAATTTTTTTTTTTTTTGAGACGGAGTCTTGCTCTGTAGTCCAGGCTGAAGTGCAGTGGTGCCATCTTGACTCACTGCAGTCTCTGCCTCCTGGATTCAAGCAATTCTCCTGCCTCAGCCTCCTGAGTAGCTGGGACTACAGGTGTGTGCCACCACACACAGCTAATTTTTTTGTATTTTTAGTAGAAATGAGGTTTCACCATATTGGCCAGGATGGTCTCGATCTCCTGACCTCGTGATCCATCTGCTTCAGCCTCCCAAAGTGCTGAGATTACAGGTGTAAACCACAGCACCCGACCGGATTAAATTTTTGTATTTTTAATAGACACAGGTTTTCACTGTTAGCCAGGATGGTCTCAATCTCCTGACCTCATGATGCACCTGCCTAGGGCTCACAAAGTACTGGGATTACCGTGCCCAGCCTAAACTTGTTTTTTGTTTTTTGTTTTTTTTTTTTTGAGATGGATTCTTGCTCTGTCGCCCAGGCTAGAGTGCAGCGGCACCACCTGGTCTCAATGCAACCTCCGCCTCCCAGGTTGAAGTGATTCTCCTGCCTCAGCCTCTGGGTAGCTGGGACTACAGGCACGAGCCACCATGCCAGGGTAATTTTTGAATTTTTAGCAGAGATGGGGGTTTCATCATATTGGCCAGGCTGGTTTTGAACTCCTGACCTCATGAACCTCCCACCTCAGCCTCCCAAAGTGCTGGGATTATAGGCATGAGCCACCCCAGCCAGCCAGATTTTTTATGAAAAGAGAATACTAGATGGGCGCAGTGGCTCGCTCCTGTAATCCCAGCACTTTTCGAGGCCAGGATGGGAGGACTGCTTGAGACCAGGAGTTTGAGACCAGACTCGGCAATATAATAAGACCTCATCTCGGCCGGGCGCGGTGGCTCAAGCCTGTAATCCCAGCACTTTGGGAGGCCGAGGCGGGTGGATCACGAGGTCGAGAGATCAAGACCATCCTGGTCAACGTGGTGAAACCCCGTCTCTACTAAAAATACAAAAAAATTAGCTGGGCATGGTGGCTCGTGCCTGTAATCCCAGCTACTCAGGAGGCTGAGACAGGAGAATTGCCTGAACCCAGGGGGCGGAGGTTGCGGTGAGCCGAGATCGCGCCATTGCACTCCAGCCTGGGTAACAAGAGCGAAACTCCGTCTCAAAAAAAAAAAAAAAAAAAAAAAAAAAAGACCTCATCTCTATAAAAAGTTAAAACGGTCCCCCTGCTGAAAGGCTGAGAGGGATACCAAGGCAGCCAGCTTGGCTTGGAGCAGAGTGGGGTCAAGATGGATAAGGATGTGCTGACTACCCTGAAGATCCTCATCATTGGTGAGAGTGGGGTGGGCAAGTACAGCCTGCTCTTGAGGTTCACAGATGATACGTTTGATCCAGAACTTGCAGCAACAATAGGTGTTGACTTTAAGGTGAAAACAATTTCAGAGGATAGAAATACGGCTAAACTTGTAATATGGGATACTGCTGGTCAAGAGAGGTTTAGAACATTAACTCCCAGCTATTACAGAGGTGCACAGGGTGTTATATTAGTTTATGATGTCACAAGAAGACACACATTTGTTAAACTGGATAATTGGTTAAATGAATTGGAAGCATACCGTACAAGAAATGACATAGTAGGGCCGGGCGCGGTGGCTCAAGCCTATAATCGCAGCACTTTGGGAGGCCGAGGCGGGTGGATCATGAGGTCAAGAGATTGAGACCATCCTGGTCAACATGGTGAAACCCCGTCTCTACTAAGAATACAAAAAATTAGCTGGGCATGGTGGCACGTGCCTGTAATCCCAGCTACTCAGGAGGCTGAGGCAGGAGAATTGCTCGAACCCAGGAGGCGGAGGTTGCGGTGAGCCGAGATCGCGCCATTGCACTCCAGCCTGGGTAACAAGAGTGAAACTCCATCTCAAAAAAATAAAAATAAAAAATAAATGACATATTAAACATTTACTTATCAAAATTGATAAGGAAAATCGTGAAGTCAACAGAAATGAAGGTCTGAAATTTGCACAAAAGCATTCCATGTTATTTATAGAGGCAAGTGCAAAAACCTGTGATGGTGTACAACATGCTTTTCAAGAACTTATTGAAAAGATCATTCAGACCCCTGGTCTGAATGACAGACATATATATACGTATATATATACGTATATATGTATACGTATATATATATCTATCATATATATATACACACGTATATATATATCTATCATATATATACGTATATATATCATATATATAAAAATACATATATATATATGTATATTTTGAGACGGAGTTTTGCTCTTGTTACCCAGGCTGGAGTGCAATGGCGCGATCTCGGCTCACCCCAACCTCCGCCTCCTGGGTTCCGTCAATTCTCCTGCCTCAGCCTCCTGAGTAGCTGGGATTACAGACACGCGCCACCATGCCCAGCTAATTTTTTGTATTTTTAGTAGAGACGGGGTTTCACCATGTTGACCAGGATGGTCTGGATCTCTTGACCTCTTGATCCACCTGCCTATATATCTATCGTGATCCACCTGTATATATATCTATCATATATATACATATATAGATATATTTTTTGAGACGGAGTTTTGCTCTTGTTACCCAGGCTGGAGTGCAATGGCGCGATCTTGGCTCACCGCAACCTCTACCTCCTGGTTTCAGGCAATTCTCCTGCCTCAGCCTCCTGAGTAGCTGGGATTACAGGCACGCGCCACCATGCCCAGCTAATTTTTTGTATTTTTAGTAGAGACGGGGTTTCACCATGTTGACCAGGATGGTCTCGATCTCTTGACCTCGTGATCCACCCGCCTCGGCCTCCCAAAGTGCTGGGATTACAGGCGTGAGCCACCACGCCCTGCCGAAACTTGATATTTTTAATTTACTTCAATAATTAGCTCAGTTGCTTAACTGGAGTTTTAATCCTGTGATATGTACCTTGGATTCATGACTCTGTGCAGAATTTTTAGTTACATGGTGTTTGGCAGAATGACAATAAGGTTTTTGCCCATTTTGGTTTCAGGAGGAAATTAATGGTGTGTTTATTGTAGTTCCTAGTACTAACCACTTTTAAAACCAACATCTTGGCCGGGCGCAGTGGCTCACGCCTGTAATCCCAGCACTTTGGGAGTCTGAGGTGGGTGGATCACCAGGTCAGGAGCTCTAGACCAGCCTGGCCAACATGGTGAAACCCTGTCTTAAAAAAAAAAAAAAAAAAAAAAAAAAACATATTTTTTTCATGAATGTTGATAGCGTTTGTCCAGGCACCTCAATTGTAGCTTGTGTAATGTTGATGAACATCTGTACCTTATGGCTTCCATAATGGCTAGTTGATATTCAAAAACCTCTTTCTGTGTTTTGAGGGGTGGGGGAAAAAGGCATATTGCTTCCAGATTCTGATGTGTGAGGGAAAATATTTTTGCAATGAAAATCTTGACAATTTACTGTAACAAGTAACCAATAGTTTATCAAAACCAACTAGTACAGACTAATCTTTTTCGCAGCAGTTTTCTCACCTCTTGCTATTGTGTATTGTATATTGTATATTTTTTCTTTTTTTATTTTTATACCCACATCCCTTTTTTTTTTAATGTATAGAGGATATTTTTTCACTCTTGTGTTATTTAATTTACATTGATCTCCGCTATTTTTTTTTTTTTTCTTGAGACGGAGTTACGCTCTTGTTACCCAGGCTAGAGTGCAATGGCGCAGTCTCAGCTCACTGCAACCTCTGCCTCCTGGGTTCAGTCAATTCTCCTGCCTCAGCCTCCTGAGTAGCTGGGATTACAGGCACGAGCCGCCATGCCCAGCTATTTTTTTTGTATTTTTAGTAGAGACAGGGTTTCACCATGTTGACCAGGATGGTCTCGAGCTCTTGACCTCGTGATCCACCCACCTTGGCCTCCGAAAGTGCTGGGATTACAGGCTTGAGCCACCGTGCCTGGTGATCTCCACTATTTTAACTCCCCAAATAAGTTATTTGTCCTTTAAGGTTGGTTACTATAATAATTTCTGGGCAGTTTGTTCTCTGTATACAATTGCAAATGATAAGCATTTTAGTGAGTGACCACCTTTGCAATATGTTTGTTAATGGGTTTACTTCATGTTGCGTTCTTTCTGAAATGCACATCTTCACATATAAAAACCTCACATTCTACTTGATTTTATACTTCTTAGTCTACCTTACATGTGGTTGAAGTTTTTTTTTTTTTTTTTTTTTTTTTTTTTTTTTTTTTTTTATAAAGACGGGGTTTCCCCTTGTTGGTCAGGCTGGTCTTGAACTCCCGAGCTCAGGTGATCCGCCCGCCTTGGCCTCCAAAGTGCTTGCATTACAGGCGTGAGCCACCATGCCCGGCCTATAGTGGAGGTTTTTTACGTGAAACAATTGTAATATCTAAAGTAAAGGCATCTGTGTAACAGGGTTTTGTTAATTCTTTTCAGAATAATTGAAGCAGTCTTAGAGGGTCTTTTGCAGATGGTACAAATTAGAACAATTAGAATATAGTATTTTGAGTTCTAGGAGTACTGAGATTGACCCAAACAAATAAAGAACTATTCAAGTGAAAAAAAAAAAAAAAAAGAAAGGTTGGCCGGGCCTGGTGGTTCATGCCTGTAATCCCAGCACTTTGGGAGGCCCAGGCGGGTGGATCACGAGGTCGAGAGATCGAGACCATCCTGGTCAACAAGGTGAAACCCCGTCTCTACTAAAAATACAAAAAGTTAGCTGGGCATGGTGGTGCGTGCCTGTAATCCCAGCTACTCAGGAGGCTGAGGCAGGAGAATTGCCTGAGCCCAGGAGGTGGAGGTTGCGGTGAGCCGAGACTGCGCCATTGCACTCCAGCCTGGGTAACAAGAGCGAAACTCCGTCTCAAAGAAAAAAAAAAAAAAAAAAAAAAAAGAAATCAAGACCTTCCTGGTCAACATAGTGAAACCTGGTCTCTACTAAAAATACAAAATAATTAGCTGGGCATGGTGGTATGTGCCTGTAATCCCAGCTACTCAGGAGGCTGAGGCAGGAGAATTGCCTGAACCCAGGAGGCGGAGGTTGCAGTGAGCTGAGATCGCACCATTGCACTCCAGCCTGGGTAACAAGAGTGAAAGTTCGTCTCAAAAAAAAAAAAAAAAAAAAAAGACCAGCCTGGCCATGATGGAGAGACCCCATCTTTCTTTTTTTTTTTTTTAAGGCTAGGAAACCCCATTTAAAAAAAAAAAAAAAAAAAAAGTAGCTGGGCGAGGTGGCTCATGCCTGTAATCCTAGCACTTTGGGAGGCCGAGGTGGGTGGATCACCTGAGGTCAGGAGTTCAAGACCAGCCTGGCCATCATGGTGAAACCCCAACTTTAAAAAAAAAAAGAAAGAAAATAAAAAAGGCCGGGCTGGGTGAAACCCTGTAAAAATACAAAAATTAGCTGGGCGTGGTGGCACATACCTATAATCCCAGCTACTCAGGAGGCTGAGGCAGGAGAATTGCTTGAACTGGAGAGGTAGAGGTTAGGTTACAGTGAGCGGAAACAGTGCCATTACACACCAACCTGGGCGACAGAGCAAAAATCGGTCTCAAAAAAAAAAAAAAAAAGCCAGGCTCGGTGGCTCAAGCCTGTAATCCCAGCACTTTGGGAGGCCGAGGCGGGTGGATCACGAGGTCAAGAGATTGAGACCATCCTGGTCAACATGGTGAAACCCCATCTGTACTAAAAACACAAAAAACTAGCTGGGCGTGGTGGCGCGTGCCTGTAATCCCAGCTACTCAGGAGGCTGAGGCAGGAGAATTGCCTGAGCCCAGGAGGCGGAGGTTGCAGTGAGCCGAGATCGCGCCATTGCACTCCAGCCTGGGTAACAAGAGTGAAACTCCGTCTCAAAAAAAAAAAAAAAAAAAGAAAGAAAGAAAGAAAAAAAGAAAAAAAAATTCCCTGTTTTAACCTCTACAAAGAAAGTATCTTTGAAAGAACCAATCCACTTTTGTTCACTGTTTCTGCTTTTCTCAGCTCTTTTCTGCCTACATAGCCAAACTCCTCTGCTCAGTTCACTAGAACACTGATTCTATTGTATTTTATTTTATTATTTTTTGAGACAGAGCCTCACTCTGTTGCCCAAGCTTGAGTGCAGTTGGGCAATTCCTGTTCACGGCAACCTACACCTTCTGGGTTCAAGTGATCCTTGTGCCTCAGCCTCTGAAGTAGCTAGGATTACAGGCATGTGCCACTACACCTGGCTAAGAGCACCATGTTGGCCATGCTGCTCTTGAACTTCTGGCCTCAAGTGATCTACCTGCCTCAGCCTCCTAAAGTGTTGGGATTACAGGCTTGAGCCACCATGTCGAGCCTCATTCTAATTTATAGAAAGAGGTGTTGCCTGATTCTGGAATCATAATAAAAACCAGTTAAGATCCTTAAACTAGGCCAGGCGTGGTGGCTCACACCTGTAATTCCAGCACTTTGGGAGGTGGAGGTGGGAGGATCATCTGAGGTTGGCAGTTTGAGACCAGCCTGATCAACAGGGAGAAACCCCGCCTTCACTAAAAATACAAAATTAGCCAGGTGTGGTGGTGCATACCTGTAATTCTAGCTACTCCAGAGGCTGAGGCAGGAGAATCACTTGAACCCGGGAGGTAGAGGTTGTGGTGAGCCAAGACCAAGCCATTGCACTCAGCCTGGGCAACAAGAGTGAGACTCTGTCTCAAAAGAAAAAAAAAAAAGATTCTTAAACTCATTGGGCATGGTGGCCTGCACCTATAGTCTCAGCTACTCAGAAGGCTGAGATGGGAGAGTCAGCTGAGCCTGGGAGTTTGAGGCTGCAGTGAGCCACTCCACTGCATTCTGGCCTGGGCAACAGAGAGACTCTACCTCAAAAAAAAAAAAAAAAAAAGAAAAGAAAAAGAAAAGAAAAGAAAAGAAAAAACACAAAAAGAAAAGAGATCCTTGCCAGTCAAGGTGTCTCACGCCTGTAATCCCAGCACTTTTGGGAGGCCAAGGTGGGTGCATCACCTGAGGTCAGGAGTTTGAGACCAGCCTGGCCAATATGGTAAAACCCCATATCTACTAAAAATACAATAATTAGCCAGGTGTGGAGGTGTGCCTGTAATTCCAGCTACTCGGGAGGCTGAGGCAGGAGAATTGCTTGAACCTGAGAGGCGGAGGTTGCAGTGAGCCGAGATCACACCATTGTACTCTAGCCTGAGCAAGAAGAGCAAAACTCTGTCTTGGAAAAAGAAAAAAAAAGAGATCCTTAAACTAAGTTTGTTGTGGTTTTGGTTTTGACAAGATTGGCAGATTGGATTAAGAGACAAGATCCCGCCCGGCGCGGTGGCTCAAGCCTGTAATCCCAGCACTTTGGGAGGCCGAGGCGGGTGGATCACTAGGTCAAGAGATCGAGACCATCCCGGTCAACATAGTGAAACCCTGTCTCTACTAAAAATACAAAAAATTAGCTGGGCATGGTGGCGGGTGCCTGTAATACCAGCTACTCAGGAGGCTGAGGCAGGAGAATTGCCTGAACCCAGGAGGCGGAGGTTGCGGTGAGCCGAGATCGCACCATTGCACACTCCAGCCTGGGTAACAAGAGCGAAACTCCGTCTCAAAAAAAAAAAAAAAAAAAAAAAAGAGACAAGATCCCCTTGTAATCCCAGCACTTTGGGAGGCCGAGGTGGGTGGATCACGAGTTCAAGAGATCGAGACCATCCTGGTCAACATGGTGAAACCCCGTCTCTACTAAAAATACAAAAAATTAGCTGGGCATGGTGGCACGTGCCTGTAATCCCAGCTACTTAGGAGGCTGAGGCAGGAGAATAGCCTGAACCCCGGAGGCAGAGGTTGCAGTGAGCCGAGATCGCACCATTGCACTCCAGCCTGGGTAACAAGAGCAAAACTCCGTCTCAAAAAAAAAAAAAAAAAAGAGACAAGATCCAGCTATATGCTGCCCCCAAAAGGCTCGCTTTAAATATAAGGACACTTAGAAGACCAGCCTTGGCCATACCTTGAAACTTAGTCTCTACAAAAAATACAAAAATTAGCCAGGTATGGCGGCCTGTGCTTGTAG